GAAATGGTGGGGAGAGTTCCAGTTGGGAGGTGAAGTGCACTGCTCTATTCTCAGATTTCAATTTACCTGCTGTCCGAAAGATAAAATTACTATCCACACCACGCAGCACCCACTCACCCCCTAAAAGCCCAACGGAAATCCAAACAAACAACCAAGTGGAGAAGCAAAAAGCAAAAAACTCTCTGAAAAGATGAGCAGAATGTGTCAAGGCAAAACAGAGAGCTCGGAGGAGAAGGGCAATTATATGACCAGTTTACTAAAGGCATGAACTCTCCAAGGCCCTCAGACAGACATTTTCCCTCCTAGTTTCTTGTCTTTGTGCAGACTCTGCATTACCACTTGCTGCACACACTGTAACCTGGTGAAAACTGCAAGACCTACATCTGGAGGCATTTTGAAGAAATCACTAATGGCTGCTCTCCATACCCTGCTGGTCCCTGAGATGTTATTATTTATATAACAATGAGTCATGGTAATAAAGATCTATGTTTCAGAGAACCATTCTTGAAAAGAAACTCATACAGGTAACCTTGATTGCAAGAGACCATGGCACAGACATACCTACAGGTACAACATTTATAGGCCTTGCTTCAGGCTTCCCTAAATATGAAATGACACAGAAGGGACAAGAATGGTGCCTTATATGGACAGTCAAGAGATTGTTACCATTAACTGTCTTCTTGTATATTTTATTTGCTTGGTTTGGCCAGGAAATGACCATCACAAAAAACTGAAACTGAACAAGTAGATACTGAGAAATGGCTTGAAGAAAGAGGGTTGTGTGTATTTTACATATATGTGTATATATACATATACATACACACACGCTTTATATATATATTTAAAGTGTGTGTGTGTGTGTATGTACTATAAAGACGTTTTGGAGTAGGCAGTATAGAAGAGCAAGCAAGTACTAGCAGAGGAAAAGAACCAAACTAGTGGAGACAAACACTGAAACAGTAAATTATAATCTGAGCATGGCAGCCATGAGACTGGATATGGGCAGAAATGGATATGGTCTTGAAAATAAAGACAAGATTTCATGGCATGGAAAGTGAGCTCTGGAAGATCATAGACCCAGCACGGGTCATCCCAAAGCGCCTCAGTGACCTCACAGCCATTTGCTCTGCCTTGGAATATGGAGCTGCCCCCAAGGACATGAGGCGGGACTGCTCAGAGCGTTTCGTGCCTGGAGCAGGAACGCAGCAAGAGCGGCATTGGAGACAAACCGTCATTGTCAGAGCAAGAACATTGTCCCAAAGTAGGTTCTTGCACCCAGTGTGCAAAAGGCTGATCACACACAGTGTGGAGGTAATTGATTTATTGGCAGTTCTGCACAGAAAGGGGTGCAGACCCACAAAGCCAGCACAGTGACTGCCAATCCTTTCCCTGTTGGTACATTTTAGCAAACAAACGCATTAACGTTCATTGGGAACAAGTCACTTTTTCGTAGTCATACTAATTATATTCTATCCTCTATTGGTTAATGATTCTCTTGCTTCTCATGCTAATTAGTCTGCATGCTCAGTCTTTCTCGTCCTTGGAGCCCGTGGATTTCTTGGGCCAGTGGTCATGAGTCAGTGGTTGTGATCTGCTCTTGCCGGAATTACCTTGTACCCAGTCAGAGCTCATTCAGCACAGTTGCTGGATTGTCTTTACTAGTTTCTTCTCTATCTTGGGTGTTCTGCCAAATGTCCTGTGGCTCATAAATTCTGCATTCCTCGTGTCTGCTATCAGTGGTACATATTTCTTCCCAAGCCTTGTTAACCTCCCTCTAGGTCTGAGATCATTGGAATATGTTGAACCTATAATAAGGCAATTCTACAGATGAGTAATTTGTCTTTCCAACACCTGGACATCACTTAGAGCTTGTTGGCTGCTTTCTCTTTCGTGGCTTAAATATCTCCTCTTGTTGACTGGGTTTGAAAGTATACAGAGATCAAACATCAATGAGCATCATTCTGTAAGAAAAATTGTATGTCTTCCACATTTTGCAATAGGAGCAGTTGGGAGCAAGAGCAGCAGAAGTGCAGTGGGAGCCCGAGTTGGCGGAGCTGTGGGACAGAGCGCAATCCACCATGTACTGGTGGAACAGGGCCCCAAACACCACCAGGATGCACATTGAGCTGAACAAGAGCTCCCAGGACTGCCAGGTGAGGGGTGGGCACTGGGCTCTGTGGGTTGGCACAGGGCAGGGTTTAGGCTGTGGTTTTGGTATCCAGTGCCCACGGGACCCGCTGGGCAGGGCTGGGGCCTCCTCGTGCTCCGAGGGCCCCTCTGAACACAACCATGCCGGTGGAAGTGGCCCACGGGGGACAGCACAGAGGCTCCAGTGGAAGTCAGAGATTCCCTGTGCTGTGACACTCAGTAAACTCGTGCTCTGGCTCAGCTCCCAGCCAAAATGCATGGATTTATCCTTGTTCCATGGTCACACGAGCTGTGCTGTCACGGCGGGAGAGGAGGCCTCATGGGTTGGCAGTGGCAGTGATTGCTGCTGGGCTGCAGAAGGCTTGGCTCCAGCAGGTTTAAATGTGACTTGGGTGTTTGACCTTTGTCACTGCGGCCACATGTCATGGTGCCGGCATTCTTCCAGTTAATGTAAAGGCATTGACTCAGGACAAAGAGTCGTTCTTTTGAGAAGGGATGCCTTCCTGCAGCAGGGGCATTTGCAGGTGGGACATGAAGGGATGGAGGTGGGACACGGAGCAGTGGTGGTGGGACACAGTTCTGAGGTCAAAGCACTCTCTGGGGATGGGAGCCAAGCGTCGAGGAGCTTTGCCTCCTCATCTTGGGTATGTCAGACTATCATTTGTTTTATTAATAGTTGACAAGAATATTAGCATCGGGGGAGGAATAAGGGAGGGAGAAGATACCATTTCTTTCTTTTATCTCCATTTTAAATGGTTGTGGTCTGCCAGCTCAAACATCTGTCCAGTGCCAGAAGGGGAGGACAGGAACTGATGTCTGTAGGTGGTGATACCTTAATGCTCAGCTCCATTGCTGACCCAGTTCAATGCTGACTGTGCCACTGAAAATTTGCAATGAAGGTTTAAAATCAGAACTTGGAATTTTCAGATCTGACACCCAAAACTACCAGGTTGCATTACTTTCTGTTACCACTTGTAGAATAGTAGCAGTGCCTTCTTATAGTGAATAGCTGGAAAAATACTCTGGTGTTTCGGAAGTATCCGTGGTGTAAGATAAGCTCTGTGTCTCTAGGGTTTGTACAGCAACCCAGCTGTGAAACTGTGTGCTAAGGTTTTGTAATTGTTTCCTGCCTACTGAGTACTATCTGGGTTGTCTGAAGACACTGTATATTAGAAAAAAACAAACCTGCAATCAAACAATTTAAAAGTAATTCTTGAAGTAATTCAGGACACACAGAGGGAGGCTAAATTCCTGTTGTATGTCCATATTCATGTCTTTGAATGGCTCTCCTACCCCACAGCATGGTGCTTTCAATATACTGGAAGAAATTGCAGGCCAATTTGAGGACGTAGAATTTAAAATTACATTTCAAAGTAGGCAGCAGAGGGTAAAGAGCATTCCATACTCATCCGGAAGTGCTACAGCCTGGCCGGTGGTGACACTGGGGCCAGCTCAAAGCACAGCACAGATGTCAGACCGCAGTGCTGGTGCATGTGTGAGCGTCTGAGCTGTGGGTTTTACTGGGAAAACTGCCCCTGCCCAGGGATGAAAGGCAGGAGGCAGGAAGAGAGTGTTCCTAAGCCACAGAGCCCGCTCCTGTTGATCCTCTCACCTGCCTGCCTTGCCCCAGGTTGCACAGGTGCTTGGTCAGAGGTGGCCAGAGTTTGTCTGAGTCTGTTTGAAGTCTTGACTTTTGTCAGTTAACAGCAGGAGCTTATTCTCATTTGAGAAGACTTAGAAGGGCTCTCTGCCTTCTATCATTTCAAAAGAGCTTGAAGCAAGAAATCTTTATAATTTTATCCTAAAATCTCAAATTTCAAAACATGAAAACTTTAAGACTTAATTTTTACAGAACATCTCTCTTTCCACTTGTTGTTTCCTGTAGCCTATGCTAAGACCTTTTTTTCCTTTTTTTTGAAGTTGAAGAGGATCCTGTACCAACTCAGGCCTTCCTTTCTGGGATTTCCTTTATCACATCCAGGGTGGCATCTTCCTAAGTTTCTCTGTGTATAGATGAATAGGTTTGGTGTCCTTGCTGCCCTGTGCACTGCTATCCTTACTGACACTTGTCTCTGTCCTTTGGCACTAAATGGAGCTGCACCAAAGCAGTTTTGGTCCGTGTTATAGCCAGTGATGCTCCAGGGAAGGAGGACCCTTTGGCAAATGCCTTGCTGTGTGCTTCCTGCAGTGATGTTCAAGAGGATGATCTAGAAGAAAACTTTTTTTATTATTATTTTAGTTGTTATTTTTAATTTCTTCTGTAGTTCCTTGCATGACTGGGGCTTTGCATCTGTGCAGGACTGGCACAGTCAAATGCCCTGGTTGGCTGGCCCAGAGAAAGCAGCAGGAACATACTGGTGGAGCCAGGCTTCTTGCTGGCAGCCACCCCGTAGGTTTGCTTCACTAACTTTTAAGAGCCCACCCTGGTTGTGTTAAACTAACACTAGTGTTGTTAAAGTATCTCCTGATGTTTGTATCCTAAAGTTACACCAGTGCTGGACATTCAGGCACTTGAAAGCAGGGAGTCCCTACATAACTCAGTTGAAAAATCTGCTGGTGAGGGAAGATTCTTGGGGTTGATGAAATTTGCCTTGGAGTTGTATGCAGCCGTAGATGAAATTTTTTTCTTTGGGGAAGCTTAGAGCAGAGGCAAAAGAATCAAGTTTCCTGCAGCTGCCACCAATGAGGAATGATCTGGTCAGTCCCTCCTCTGTCTTTTCAGTGCTGATCTAGAAAACAGTCTTTCTGCATCTCTGTCAGCCTGGAGAGATGCATTTGACATCAGTGGTAAGACTTCCTGCATGCTTCTGTTAAAATAATGCCCATTTTTTAGGCTAAACAATCAATTACTCAGTTTCCCAAACTGAAAAATACTTCTGCAATGGCTGCTTGTAAGGATACAGGAGATACGGTAGGATATAGTAGACCAGCAGTGGGACTGGGAAAATAACGTGGTGGAAACATCTGGAAAGCTGATCAAGAGCAGCATAGTCCCATGTTCAAGACTCACATCATTGTCCTGCAGTTCAACCTGCTGTTTCTTGTTGCTGTAGTTGCATTGGTGCTCCCCTGTATTGCAGAAGTGTCGTACTGCGGGCTTGTTTGGTGGGATGTTGGACCTGCAGATATTTTCTGTACAGCTACTTCCCCATGGTGGGTTTTTGCTTGAAATGAGGTCCCTGGCACAGCCTCTTGTGAAGGATATTCTACATCTCTTTTCAGACCCCCATTCCCTTTTTACAAGGCTTTTTTCAAGACATTTTAATGATTTTTAAGCTCCAGCAGAAAGCGGCACCTTCTGTACTAACTGATCGGTGCAGCCAAACAAACCAAGGCTTTTAGGTCTGACTGACCATTTCACATTTATGCAAATAATTGCATGTAGAGCTGAGGAAAACAAAAAGGGTTTTTGCACCTGTTGAAATCGGCATTCATCTTTTCTAGTTGTAGTCCTTGTTGAAGCTGACTCCAGTATGTGTTTTCTTGGGATCAAATAAATCCCAGAGTTGGATGCTGCCCCAACTTTGTGATTTATTTCCCAACTGCTCTCCTCTCATTTGTAAGATGAGCTCCAGCCAGTTCGATTGTACTCAAGCACTTGCATTTCAAGAGAAGTATATGCCTATTAATTCTGGGAAGCAGGAAGGGATGACTTGCTAATTAAATGCTTTGCTGAATTAGAAGCTGAGTGACTGCTGCTATCTCAGTGGTTTTGTGGCCAGCTGCTTTCAGAGGGAGAATTGTGACAGAGCAGCTCTTTTTAGTGACTGAAATAGTAGCAAAATCTTCAAAATACAGTTATCCATTTAAAATTATGGGCCTAGTTAATCACCAGCAATGGAGTGTAGACTGAAGTTTTCACAGAAACTATTTTTATCTTTTAGCCAAATGAAGTGCATGCATTTAACTTCCCTTTGTCAAATGCTGGCAAAGATAATCCTCAGGAAAGCTTTGACTGTGTCCAGCAAACAGGCTCAACGTAAGTTTTGCTTCATGTTTTCTTTCATAGCACATTTCATTGGATTCTGTGGCTTTGAGCACACGGTGAAAACCTTTACAGGAGCATGTTCCTGGTGATGACTGCAGTAGGAAATGAATTCCCAGCAATACGTGGCTTCTTGCTAGTTACAAACACTTGCTTTTCTGTAGAATTCTTTTTGGTTTTGTTCCTAAAAAAAATTACCTTCTGAGTACTTTCCCCCCTCTTAGTGGTATTTTTCAAAGGTTTTGGAGCTCAGGATGGTCCAAGCTTGACAAGTTCCATTCTACAACTGTATGTCAATATGATTATGGTTGGCAGCATGCTGGCCTTGATGGAGAGTTGTCTTATCTTAACAGCCACAAAAATGGTATCTGAAAGGGCCCAGGCTTCCAAGGCTGGTACAAAGCAAGCAGCAGCAGTTTAAGTTAGGAGGGAGAGGTCCTGCCTCCACTCCTGGCCTGCCTATCCTGAGCACCTTTGAGGGCACCTTCTTCTTTGGGAAGGATGGCTTGAATGAAACTGTATTTTTTATGTCAGATTAAATTGATTTAGCTAATTTAGCTCTAAATAATTCTGGCTTGGAAGCCTAGGTAGTTTTAATGAGGTTTTGCTAATTTTCCTCAAAATCTAGTTCAGACCAGCTTTCACGGGCCCTGTGTAGGCAGCGCTCCGTTTGTGCAAAGTACCTGCAAAGTTAAGGCAGAACTTGCAGTAGTGTTACACACAGAGCCATTTAAAAAATGGCCTTTTTTTTCTGTTGTATATATGGCGGTTTTGGAGCGAGGGATCAATCCATAGTCCTTGGCTATGGACAAAACTGGAGCTGTATTGTGTTGAAATACTGGGCAGTGGCCTTGTGCAGCTTTGTGACTTTCAGAAAGGACATGATAAATTGAGACTCAGGTTGTTGATGCTTTTTCTTGGAGCCTTAATTGGGCATTTTAGAGTGGTTGAAGCATTTCAGGTGAGCTGAAGCTGGTGTCCTGTCCTCGGTCAGGGCCGTTGCCGTGGCAGGTGCCACACAGGAGGCTTGGTAAGGGCGGTGGGAGTGAGGGCAGCGCCCAGGAAGGCTCTAGGGTAGGATCTGCCTGCCAGGAGAGTGCCGGGCAGCTGCCCGAGTGCTGCCTGTGGCTGTCACTGCAGCAGTTCTCGGGAGAACAAGCAGCACAGCCCTGCAGTTGCGTGAGGAAATTGTAACCACACTGACAGGTAAAACTGGCAAAGTCTGAACGTGTAGAGGCAGTTGGAAATCTGTTTACGTCCTAGCTTGCTGTCAGAACGGGGAAATGTTTTTCTTCTCCTGTGAAGACCAGTTTTAACATTCCTGATACAACCATACTTCTCATGCTGAAGTAGTGCCTGAAGGGCTCAACATTTTTCAATGTTTTTATAGTTACGGAGCGTTGCAATTCAAACTCCCAACTCAGGCAGAAAAGGCATCACGAAATCAAGGTGCAGAGGTTACTGATGGACCTGATGGGCCATTTTCAGGTATGGTTGCTTTTCATTTTTTATTGGATGTCTGTAAGTTTTAAACCTAGTAATTAATTTCTGTGGCGTTTTCTTGGAACAAGTGATGTGTTCAGACATCTCAGGTGAATATCATTCATTATTGAACTGTTCTGAGCACTGTTTCCCCAAGAAGCCTTGTGTCTCCAGGCAGACACAAGGTGGACATGCACCTTACAGGCTCTCAATGGTACCAGCAGCAGTGGTCCTGCCTGCAGCAGTGAGCTGAGCCAGGTACATCCACCTTCACAGAGTAAAATAGGCTCTCACTTGGCTCTGGCTGCAGTCGCCTGCCAGCAGGGACATCCCTGACAATGAAAGTGCAGCTCTTGCTCTGTCTGTACACGGCAGAGCATTTTAAGCTAGCATTGTCATGGCTTTTTGGAAAGAGAAAATTAAGCATGTGTGGCCTTGACTCCAAGGAAGCTTGTCTGGGGCTGATTGTAGGAGGTGGTGCTGGCACTGCTCCCCCTCTGTTTTTTGAACTGCTCCGTAATGCAGTGTGAGAGGAGCCACTTTCATGTATTTCAGAACTTCTCATTGGGGAAGTTCTGTTTGACATTGAATGATGATATGTGTGATTCTTGGTGGTGGTGTAAATAGATCTCAAGTGAATATTTAACATTCAGTAATTGGGGTCTGAAGACTTGCAGCAGTAAGGCAATTGTGGTATTGGGGGGGTACTTTTGTTTTGGGCTGGCATTGAGGAAACTCAGGTAGGACAGGTCTAGTTGGTGGTAGGACATAGGGCAACATGCTCCATGCAGTACCAGTTAGGAACTGGGGTTTGTCACAGTATCATAGAATATACTGAATTGGAAGGGATCCACAAAGATCATCAAGTCCAGCTCCTGCCTCCAAGAATCCCACCATGTGCCTGAGAACACTGTCCAAGTTCTTCCTGAATTCTGGCAGACTTGGTGCCATGATCACTGTTCTGGGGAGCCTGCCAAGTGCTTGACTACACTCGGGTTGAAGAACTCTTTCCTAATTTCCATGTAAATGCTTCGATATGCTTTCAGGTTATTTTTTCTTCAGGGACATGACATTAGGAAGTGCTTTGCTTGACTGCTGTGGGAAGTTTCTGCATTATTCAATTACCATTGAATTTAACTTCTCAAAACATTAACAGTGCCTTAAATAGACAACTGGCAAGTTTACAGTGTTCTACAAAATTTAACTGTGTGTGTTTGAGTGATTAGGTTTGCAGTTGAACACCAGAAAGGCAGAGTCCAGGGAGCAGCCAGCGTGGAAAGGTATTAAAGGTTTGCCCTCCATTACAAAATTGAAGCACTTCATAGGAACAGGTCAGTCTCTGTGTGCCTGATACAAAGAGAGAAGGCTCCCTGTTTTGTCACCATCACTCATTTAGCATCTTTCAGGTACCAAACACAAGTTAGTGGTTTCAGACAAGTGCCTGCTGTGTCATATCCTCTCTCTCAGCCTACTGGCCCCAGCTCTGCTGGTGCAGCCTTGGACAGAGTTGTCTTTCTGGGCTGCCAACACACATTGCCGGCCCCTGTCTAGCCTCAAGTATCACTCATTTATGAGCATTGTTTAATGACTGTTTGTTTGTTAATGCCCAACTTGATCCATCTTTACTATCTGAATTCTCACAGACCTGGAAATGATGAACAAATACAGGTTTATCAGTCCTGGTAAATACTTTTAAACCAACTTCCTTGCCTTCTCCCAACCTCCCATATGACACATTTTTTTCCCTCCCTTTTGGCCTTATTTTAGAAAGAAAAACAGAGATCAGAAGAGTCCCACAAAGAACTCCAGATGCTGTGCCTGAGAGGAAAAGAACAACACCCATGAACCCTGCAAACATCTTCCAGAGAATTTACAGTGGAGTTTCTGACCGACCATTCAAGGACAGGGTAATCCACTTGTTGGCTCTGAAGAATTACAAGAAGCCAGAGTTACTTAATCACTTGCAGAGAGATGGAGTCATGCAAAAGGACAGGGATTCCCTTGAAATGATCCTTCAGCAGGTGAGATCCTGAAGTTTGTGCCAGCAATTTTTCCCTCCTGCTATT